CGTTGGTCGTCTCTCGCACCACTTGTCTCTATCTTATTGACTTGCGTCGTATCGTGTGAACGGGGGTAAGTTTCCGATACTACTTCCAAACGTGTATTGTCGATAATGGAATGTCGCAGCACTGAATCAAGAGTGCGGTATTCGATTAGTAAACTATTCAAGGTCGATTGTGTATTTCATATCTCGACGTTAAGTATAACTGGCACATATAACGGAAATTTCGCGTTCGTACGTTGAATTTAAAGCAAGATCAACCACGCAAGCTTAGTTGTGTTCAATAGCTAAAACAACGTTGCTGTTGTAAGATTCTTTAATATGATTAATCTTGCCCTTTGCTCCTTAATGTATCTAAATGTATAAATCAATCATATTAAAGAATCTAACAACAGTTGCAAAGTTACTTTTTCTGCTGAATGTAACCAATGGCTTCTTTAATATGATTAATTCTTACCTTTAGTTCTTTACAGGATCTAAGTGTAGGACTCAATTAATATTAAAGAATTACTAAGCGCTAACTAATTAGTTTTCTCTGCTGAATGCAGCCAATGACAAAACATATCTCTCACAGATAGAGTAAATTTTTCAGCAATGTTAACAAAATTTCGTGTATTTATTCGCGCACTATTCAAGATTAATAATCGCCGTATAGAGACGCGACGTAAAATACGATAGACTGCGACTCCGCGACGATTACAGTTGCTCCTGAAGTTAGCCGCGCGATTCTGCCAACCTCCTCCTCCCCCTCCGTCACGCCTTCACGCCGTTTCAAATTCGATCTGTGATTTCGCAATGTCACAAGCGTCGAGCGGATCACTGAGCTTTCCGCGTTCGTTCCAAGCAGAATACAAAATCATACGATAAATTCCTGACGAAAATAAAAATCGAAGCATAAGTCGGATGTAAAGGGAAAGTAACAGAAGCACACAGAAGCATAAACGAAACTTCCAGGAAGCGAAAATTGGAACGACAAAATGTAAAAGAGGCACGCATCTTTTACATTTTATTTTACGCTTCTTTTATGATTCGTTGTTTCAATTTTCGCCTCTAGAAATTTTATTTACGCCTCTGTTGCTCTCCCCTTACATTCAACTTGCGCTTCAATTTTTATTTTTACTAGATTAGACACACTCAGTGCATATTAAAACCATCCTACACGGATTAATATAAAAATGTGTTTATAATGTATAAATTTATTATACAAGGTGTCCGATAAATAATGAAAAAACTCGCATAGAGGTAAAATGGATTAAATTGAGTAAAAATTCTCTATACAATTTTACACAAAAAGAATTTCACAATAGTGAACGAGATATTAATTTCTAAAAATTGCCAAGTAAGCGCCCAATCGTTAACTGCGAAAATTGCAAAATGATAGAAAACTTTTCGATTTAATTTAATCTGTTATACTTGCACAAGCGATAATTAACGAGATATTAATTAATAAAGATTTCTGAATAAAGAATAAGCGTTTGTTCAACTGCAAAAATTGTAAAATGGTAGAGGACTTTCTACTTTAATCTATTCTACCGCTATGTAAAATTTTTTCATTAATTGCGCGTCACAGACACCTAGTATATATTATATTTTAACTCAAAGACGTTGAGTGGATTTTTTGAGACATGCAAAAATGTTAAAATTAACATTTTATTTTTTACAGTGTAATAAGTCAATCATATAGAAGTCAATTTAAGAAAAATTATAATGGCGATATATATGTATATGTATACTATATATGCCATTTGATACACTTTTGACGATAACACTTTACAAGAGAGAAAATAAAAGAGAGATAACATTTCAATTTAAAAAATCACTTAAAAATCATTGTGTTAAGAATTTATCACAAAATGAGATCGTTAAGAGTATTATTATAATTTTTCCTAAATTGACTTCGATTTGATGTTACCTTGATCTTATTAAAGCAGCGTCTATGAGATTTTAAAACGATGTTTACAATACAATTTTAAAGCGGCGTCTGTATAACGAGATTTTAAAGCGAGATTTTAAGACTTAAAACGACGGCACACGATGTGGATTGCTAGCTGGATTAAATTCTTGCTACTGTATTAGCTGTGATGTTGACTTCTAAAATCCAGCTAGTAATCCAGCAAGAAAACAAGCATCGTGTACCACCGACTTTAAGCTTTATGTCTTAAACCGTAAAAAATTGATTACTCAAGTTGAGTACTCTCCTTACATTTGATTATGATTGATTAAAATTTCTTACGGCTTATAATTTAAGCTTTACACCTTGAAATCTCATTGTAGAAGGAGTTTATAATTTTATGACTTTAATTATAATTTTTCTACCTATAAATTCCGCGTAATTCTTGCGCAACAGCGTGACAAAGTGCACACCGCGTTGCGAGCTTTAACAAGAGTGTCGCATGATCGTAAATAACAATATTTTCACAAGTGGAAGTGGATTCGCTGCGAAAGAGCAACAACAGGACCTGTGAGAAGAAGGAAGAGAAAGAGGTGTCAGGCATACAGTGGAGCAGCCATGGAGTGAGAAACGACTGTTTATCAATTGTTAAATACTCGAGAGGAATCGCGTTTTCGTACTCGTAATCACGTCCTTAAAGCTAATGGGACAACACACAGAGTAATTCGCACCACATCACTTACTAGTGTCACCCATTCTCACCGGGTATATGATAGCGTCACGCCGGCGAGGCTTTGTATACACAACAGCGCACTATACTCCGCCCGGCACTGCTAGACTGCTACCAAAACAAAACGGTCGACTGAGCACTTGCCTTTGTGTACCGTAGCATCGCGTAACGCCAGTTTACTGCTACGAAATGCTCTCAACAAAGATTTACGAAATATTTAACGTCTTATAATGCGAATTAAGTATTAAATATGTCGAATATAATCGCTACTCCTTGCATTTCAATTTAATTGTAATCGTGTATCAATACATTGTTCGTATTTGTATATTTGAGAATTGACCCATTCTTTTTATTTCTCGTCAAATTCTTACATGCTGGATTGATTTGATTTTAACAAACTGAATTTAATAAATTAGGAAAATGAAATTAAGACACGTTGTGAAAATATATAATTGTCTTTCTTTTTTTATTTTGTTTTTTTCATTTATAGGTATTTTACAATTTCACTATTTTCGATATTATGAAATATACATATAATAAAAATTTGAAAAAAAATACATGAGACAAAGGCAAAATTTATTCACATACGTTTTAGAAATTAGATTTAATTTGCATTTTTGTTACATCGCATAGAGCAATAGTTTATCGTGTTATTTTATATCATTCATTAATTTTCTTAAATGGAATAATTAACAATCATTTAAAATTTTCATTAAAAAAAATTATTTGATATATGGTACAGATAACCGATATCTCTTCATTAATAAGATGAATATAACCATTACCAAAAAAATTTAATAATTTTATACAAAATTCAGACCGTTTATTTTCGAAAAAGCTGGAATTTGCTAGTGTGTCTTTGGTATGACAGCTATCGACGGTTCTGTTATACCTCACATTCCATTCATGAAATGTCACGCGAATAGCTACCGTGTCAGTAGCCCTAATGCACTCGAAGAATTCATCGTTTCTCAGGAATTTCGTATGTCCTCATTGTACGAGCTTGACCTAATGCACCAGATATTAATCAACCACAAATTTCTTGCACTCTAACGTTCTATATTATAATAAAGATAATAAAACTACATTAACACATTATAAACTTTGAGAGCCAAAATCATAATTTATATTTTAACACGTATTAATAAATTAATTCTTCTTACAATAGAGAATTTATATAAAAACAGGATGGGTATGAGCAGGAACATAAAAAAATAAAATTCACATGTATGTAGAAAGACATTACTCATTATTGTTTTGTCATTAGAAACATTATTTGAATAAACTTACATAATAACTATACACGCATAGATGTACATACATACATAATAATAATAAGAGTATACATGATGTATTGTATTTTTAAAATTGCATAACCATTACGCTATTTCACATTGCAATTAACTTCAAGTGCAGTATCTCTATCCTGTATGTTAAAATCTCCTTCTTGATAAGTGGAAAACGCTTTTATTTGTATTTTACGTATTAGCTAAGTGCAGTCGCTTCATGGACGTCAGGGTGAAAAATCTTGAAAATGTAAAATGCAACATGTGAAAAAGTACATTTATATGTATATATCCTAAAGTACGAGTCCTAAAATTCGTCTATGAAACTTTTATCAAATAAGCTTTGAGCCCTCCGTAAATGCTCTGTGCATTGCTGAGCAGCAAACATATTTTGCCCAATATTGTAAGGAGATGAAAAAAAACATCTTTAATTTCTCTTTAAATAACGTGGAAATACAGTGTACTATTGTACAGCATTTTAGAAATTTATATTATATATATAAATTTTATATATAATTATACATATAAAATTTATATAATTTATATAAATTATTATATTATGTATAATTGTATATGTATAAATATATATATATATATGAAGTATTTATACTATCATGAATTTATATAATCCGTGCTATTTATAACTAAAATAAATATTTCGAAACAATTTTCTTAAATTACAAAACATCTCTCTCCAGTTTTACAAAGACAATAATATAAACAGGAAATAGTTTCTTATATTTGATTTCTTGTTTAATGTATATTTTTAATAAGATCGAAAAAAATGTAATATATTTCGATAAAATATGATCGACATAAGAGGAATGTTTTCGTATAGTAATGTCTATGTTTTCCGTTCTATCTTTCTCTTTACTCTTTATAACAGATTTGTCATATTACACAATCTGCATTCTTTTTATCTTATTAAAATATAAAAAAATCATTAGATGAATGCGTACATTACATATTTAAAGCAAATTTAACTTTTGTGTTGATATTCATTGTCTTTCTTTCATTGTGTAAAAACATAAGCAGAAAGACCTAAGTAATAAATAAATCAATCAATTACTATAAAAATTCTCGAAAACATAAACTGCTATTTTAAAACTTCTGTTTTACTTGTGTGTTTGTGTCTGAATGTTTTAATATTTAGGTCTTACTGTTTGTATTTTTTATATGCCACAATCTCTCTGTGCTTGAATCCCCAGCTTTAAAGTATAATATCATTGTCAAAAGTATAAAACGAATCTCAAAAGAAACAAAAATTAAATTTGTTAAATCGCAATTTATCTTTTTTGTTTCTTATGTCTGTTTGAAAACGTCCGATTATAATCGGCATGTTGGGCCTGGCACTAGGAATTTGCATTTCTAGTAGTAATAACACTTTGCACAACACGTTGTCCCCACCATGCCTCCAAATTAAATGGTTCAAAATCTGCAAAAAAATATGAAATACAATATATATTCTCTTCATCCATGATACATTCCACAATCGATACTAAAATAAAACAAAGTTTATAGAAAAAAGAAATAATACAACAAAACAAAATAACTGAATATCTCAAAAGAATAGAAATTGATCTCTCCCAATGTAGTACATATAAATTTTCTAAGATCAAGAAAAAGAAACAAATAAAAGATCCTCGAGTTTAAATTAAGCTTATAGTATACAATAATATTGTATCAATTTTGCTTCTAGATAAAGCACAAAAGCAAAATGTTTACCTTTTAATTGTGGATTTGGCTCACGTTCTTGATAATATGTAACTGATGCTCCATTTCTATAATTAGAGGAGTTACTATGTGGTTGATTGTGACACATATCTAGCTCTCTAGATACGGAATTCCATGCTGAAAAAATGTAACAAAAATAAAAAAATAAACATCAAAAAGAAATATATTTCAATCATTTAAATTATATTGCATATGTATACTCACAATCATAGATATACTTGATCAAGTCAGAGTGTTGCGATAATATCTCTGGTTGATGTCTACACGGTATCGAAGAGGGCCTCTTCCCGTTCATCGTAGTCATTTGTGATCTACTGCTATAAATAACAGAATTAAGATAAGCAACCATTCTAAAGATAAATTCAATTTATCTATATTCTTATCCACAACTCAACAAACTATAAACTTGGTCTAAATAATAAGCTTTCTTTTTTGAAGAATGTTTTGAACTGGTGTAGTTGAAGTGCATAGTTATAAGTCTACTTTTTATAAAATACACTAGTGTACATTCTTAAAGTGAAAGATATATGTTTGATATTTGGTAAAAAAAGTAAGAAAGTTTTAGTACCGTAATAAAAAACAAACTTAAATACAGTTTGTTTTATTTCAACTCATTGTATTGATATATATCAATCAGAACATTTTTTGAAAAAAAAAAAAAAAAAAAAAAAAAAAAACC